ACGTTGAAATCTTCTTAGATCGATTCACTTTTAAATAAATAGTCATATACGTTCTCAATACTCTTCCATCAGAAAAGTACGTGATTTATTTATCTTATGTAATTGTAATAATAATTTCAGTCTATATAAATCTCTACTATCTTTAATCCCACTTTTCTAGCAAAATATTTTTGAAGACTTGTTTCTAAGTTGTTGAGTTTGAGGAAATCAATTAGTTAAACATTTAAGAATTTATCATTTAAAATAAATGAATTTCCATCATTAATTAATTTAAGAAATTTTAAATGCGAACAAAATTTCAGAAAAATGAAATGTTATTACGAATTTGAATAAAGAATTTATTTCTGTTATTGTACTTTTTTTTTTCAGTCAAATGACTATTTTTCTTCAATCTCAATACTCTAATTCACAGGAATTAGCATCTTTATTTATTTAAAATTCATTCAAACGGTGATTTTTCATGATACATAAAAGGCATCTAGAGTGCGAAAAGTTCTGTATCACATTACAAATTACAAAATTATAAGCCCAACCTTAATGAAATAAAGCAATTTAATTCTTTAATGGATAAGATTCGCTAAAATGAACAGTAACTACTAAATTTAATCATCTCACAATCCTTATTAATATTGAAGATAACAAATTAACAATAAACAAAGTTAACTAGATTTGGTCTTCAAACCAAAATATCACATCTTAAGAAGAAAAATTCAAAGTAAATAACCTTTAAAATATTCATAGTAAGATTAATAATTAAAATCTTGAAAACCTTAGTGATTTTCATCACAGCCTTATATTTTTTATATTAATTCTCTTAAACTTTAAAGATTGAGAAATCAAACAATTATGAAACATAATGATTAAAAGGAGAAGTGACTATGGAAAAATTGATCTATATTTAGATTATAAAGATTATTCATCAGGAAATAAGGATGAGTTCAATAGTTTTTATGGATATTTCGGATTTGAAGATCAAAACTGAAAATTGTATTAATATCTAATTGAATGAGTCCATCTAGAATAAGAGAGCAATTAATAACTTGTAAAAATGCATTAAAAATTTAAAAGCTTGTATAAAACTTTCATTTGTTAATAAAATTGTGTATATTTGAGTTATTTGATTTATTTGTGATAATTCGCTTAAATAAAGATCGAACTGAATAAATTTCTTTTAATTTGAAAATTATATTGATAAATTTGTATCTTTAATATACATAAATTACTAACATATTTATAACATATAGTAATGGAAGGTTTTTACCAAGCTATAAAATAGGATAAAAGAGTTATTTTAATGAAAAGAAAAAAGTAATAGGAGAATTATATTTAGATTACCTATAGACTCATTATTAATTTCAATTCATTTGTCTTCAGATCTGACAAATTGATTTATCAATTAAAGCTTAATAATTAAATTATGAATAGGTTTTGGTTTTATAAAATTCATCCATTTATATATAGTTTAAGATTAAATGCAACAGCATAATTTCAATAAAGATTAATTAGAATTTCCTGTGAAAAAATGAATAGACTAATTATTTAACTTTAAGTTCATTACTTTTTTACCTATTCTTTGCTTAAAAATAAGTATTAATACAAATAACATTGGATATCTACCAATTTTGGATTCCTTCATATTCAACTCATAGATTATTGTGTCATTAATATTTAAGAACAACATGATGAATGAGTTCATATTTTTATTGATCAATAGGAAAATACTACAATTTATGAGATAAGTTTTAATTTTGGCTTATAAGACAAATCAATTTGAGATATATTCATTGAATGACAACTTATAACTTTAGAGTATTAAATTATAGTATTCTTTAATTTTTTAATTAAATTTGAACATCGTTACTTTGCAAGTATCTGCTCTTCAATTAAATTTTATGTTTATATACAGTTTATTATCACTTTTAATCTTATTTCAAAATACCTGGTACAAAGAATAATTAATCGCGAATTTAATCAGCATTATATATATTTCTCATTATATAGATTGAATAAAATTTATGAAAACTTAAAAGGATTTTGCAATATAAAATAGAGCTAACTTTAAAATTTAATCAAATTGAAATACATAATAATTAGTTAATCAGGTAATTTAATAGTTCTTTCATCAGCTTCAGATTTAATCATTCTAGTTATACTCATAGATATCAGCTGAGTTCTTGACTGCTCATAACATTTTTTACTAAGGAATACTATGATATTTCAAAAATTTTGATGATTTAATTTGATTTATGTATGATTGAGAATTCGATTAAGTAATAAAATGCTTAACACAGCAACATTTCACTAATTGTTATTTTCTAGTAGATTTATATGATTACTGCTGTTTTAGAATATTGTTATTGAATTTACGATAATCATATATAAGCAAATAAAATAAATTGAATATCTTATTATAATAAATATATAAATGTCATCTGAAATCGATAAGAAATTATGTTCAAAGCATAACTTAAAGGTTTTAAATAATCTACTGTTGATGAGGATAAGTATCTGTGTATGAAGTGTATGTTGGAAAAAATCGATTCTTAAAACATTTTTTCATTAGAAGACACAAAAATAATGATAAAGGAAATGAGAAGTGAATAGTTGAAAAAAAAAAGATAAAGAGTCCTAAAAAAGGATTGAACATTTTTAAAAAATTCAATCCTTAATGACAGAATTGATCATGCCAATCAACAAAACTATAGAAAAAGTTTAATCTAACTTAGTCCTATTAGAAGATGAACTTGAGAAATCTAAACAAAATATTTCAGTTTCTCTTTTTGAAGAAGAAATTAAAGTTTTATTTTAGAATTACAAAGAACCATGTAGTTTTGAAGTTCCTAAGGAATTATTAAAATCTATAAATTACAATACCTACATAGAATCTATATAATAATAGTTATAATCAATAATTAAATGTCCTATTTTTACTTAAATCTTTGAAGCCTTATTAAAGATAAAAGTTGAGGAAGACCATTAAGAAATTAAGTAATTCCAATGGATCTGTAATGAGGAAAGCCAATACGTAATTTCTAACTTATATATTAAATAGAAAAAACTAGGTTAGAATATTTATTGTAATAAACATGGAAAGGAAATTATTATGTTAAACTTAAATCCTGAGAAAACAGATTTTTCAAGACTTGTTTGTGTGGAGTGTATATAATCAAATGATCCAATTAAATATACAACATTAAGTGATGCTAATATTAAATGGAATGAATATCTAGGATAGAAAAGTGAAAAGGTTTACCAATTTGAGCTTGAAAGATATTAAAATTCAACATAGATCCTTCAGATTCTTGGAGAAATTAAAAAAATACACCACTCTACAATTTCGAACATTATTGATTAGATTAACATTAAACACTCAAAGATTTAAAAAATTGAGTCTAATTAGATTAATAAAAATAGTATTTACAATATGAGTATTGAATAACTTAATGAATTAGCTGAAATATTAAGCTATAAAGATAAATTTTAAAAATAAACTGAAAAGCTATATAACATTTAGAAAAAAGACTTTAATTAACTTGAAATCATATCAACTAGTTTAGGAAAATTATTAAGAAAAAGGTTAAAGGCAACTAATAAGATTAATAAAATTTACAAGGAATAAATTATAAATATTATTGAAGATAAAGATTCAAAAAATGAAATTTTACAAGAAGAAGAAAATGAAATTTCTAATTTGCAATCAATTAAGTAACTCAATTTATAACTAAAAAATTTAAAAATATTTTAGGATATCTTATAGGAAGCATAAATTTAGTATGAATCAGTAATTAAAACAATAAATACTTTATCAACTTAATTTAAAAATTAACAATTGTAGAAAGTAAATATATATAAACAATAATTAGTTTAATGAAAATGTAATTTAGTTTGAAAAAGATTTTTCAATAACAAAAAAACTAACATATTTTGATAATAAAGAGGCTGAACTTAACCTATTGAAAAAAGATAATTAATCACTATAAAATAAACTCACAGAAAATTAAATATAGAACTAATAATAAAGCAATAATTAAATTTTTATTTGAAAGATAGATAAATTGAAGTTAAACTTAAAGAAAAACAAGAATAGTTAGAAAGATTCTAACAGTCAAATCAAAAGAATGAAGAAATAGTCAAATAATTACAATTAACTTTGGTAAAAGTAAAATCTAAAATTTAAGTTGAACTTGTAATTCTCTTAATAATTGACATTCTCAACAACTTATAAGCATAGCAATTGTTCTGTAACTTAGAATGGAAAGGTTATTGAGAATAATGAGGATTCTTGGAATTGTTGTATGTGTGATTAAATGATTCCTAAGAATGGAGTCATTTTATTTGCTGTTAAAATTATTGAAATGTCTTATATTATGATTGGAATTGATTTTAGGGATATCGTGTAGATTAAGGGATATAGGAATTGTTATTGTATTGGAGGAGGGTATGTGTTATGATATTAATAGTTCATAAATAGAACATATAATATATATAATAATGGTCATTGTTATAATCATGATTAATTAGATAAAAATGATAAATAAATAGCATTTACATTTTCAACAAATGATATTATAATAGTTGAAGTTGATATCTAAAAGAAATATGTGAAATGGACAAAATAATCTACAAATCAATCATTTGTATCAAGATCAAATTATAATTATTAGACTCTGACTATTGATACATCCAAAGATTTATATCCATGTGTACATTTAAAAGGCAAATGTAAAATAGAGATATTAAATTAACTATTTAAATGATAAAATACAAATTTTATTCATAATTTTATCATTTTTTGTATTAATAATAAATGATGACTTAAATATTTTTTGATTTTGATTCTTCTATTTTTTTGACCTATTGAATATACCATGAAATAGG